TATATATATGAAAGTGAATTTTGTACGTTACCCTTGGAACCTACAATCTTGCTAGAATCACTTATTTGTTCTAGGAAGCTTTTATTTAATTCTTTAAGATTTTCTTAAAGATTAAGCCATGCCATCCATGAACATATTTGTGTTCTTCCAAGTTTGTAGGCCTTTCATTTCCTTATCATGCATACCACATTAGCCAGGATTTCCAGGATAACAATGAAAAGGATTTGAAAGGATATATATTTGTCTGTTTCCAATTCTGGGTGAACACTTTGAGTTTCTGACACTTAAGTATGATATCAGTGCTCTTCTGCCACCCTCGCTCACATCGTTGGCACTCCTCACTCTTTGCCTTTGCTAGGGAGAGTCCATTGCCACCATGGTGAACTTTATAGTAGATCAGATCTGAGCCACCAAGGACAAGAAGGCCAACATCCAGAACGTGTCTCATCACACACATGGACCATATCAAGTACATGCTGACAGATTCACTGGTGTGTACAGCAGGCACGGGCTTCACAGACACAAGGAGGAGCAGGAGAGCTGTATCACCATCAAGTCCACCGCCCTGAACAACCTGAACTTCATCAAGCAGAGCAAGGACAGGTCAGCTTCCACATCAACCTCACTGACTCCTTGGGCCACGTTGACTTCTCTGTGGTGATGGGTGACTCACATCAAGGATGGTGCTCTGGTCATGGTGGACTATGTGTCCAGCACATGCCTGCAAACGGAGACGGTGCTGCAACAGGCCATCACTGAGTGCATCAAGCCAGTGCTGATGATGAACAAGATGGACCACGCACTGCTGGAGCTGCAGCTGGAACCTGAGGCGCTCTACCACACCTTCCAGCACATTGTAGAGAATGTGAACATCATCATCTCCACCTACCTCAAGGGAGAGTGGACCCATGGTCAGCATCAGGATCAACCCTGTCCTGGGCATCATGGACTTTGACTCTGGCCTGCAAGGCTAGGCCTTCACCCTGAAGCAGTTTGCAGAGACATTTGCCACCAAGTTGGCCACCAAGGGCAAGTGCCAGCTGGGGCCTGCCGAATGTGCCAAGAAAGTAGAGGACATGATGAAGAGGCTGTGGGGGAACCAGTACTTCAACACAGCCAACCACAAGTTCAGCAAGAATGCCAACAGCAAGAAGCTACGGTGCACTTTCTGCCAGTTCATCCTTGACCCCTCTTCAAGATTTTCGATGCCATCATGAACTTCAAGAAGGAGGAGACATCAAGCTGATTGAGAAGCTGGACATCAAGCTAGACTGTGAGGACAAGGGCAAATAGGGGCAAGCCTCTGCTAAAGGCTGTGATGCACCGCTGGCTGCCAGCCTGGGGTCGTTGCTAGAGATGATCACCATCCACTTGCCTTTACTAGTCACCGCACAGAAGTACCACTGTGAGTTGTTCTATGAGGGGCAGCCAGATGATGAGGCTGCCATGGGCATCAAAAGCTGTGACCCCGAAACGTCCCTTGAAGACCTACATCTCCAAGATGGTGTGACCTCTGACAAGGGGCACTTCTATGCCTTTGAGTGCGTGTTCCGGGGGGTGGTGTCCACAGGCCTGGAGGTCTGCATTATGGGCCCCAACTACACTCCAGGGAAGAAGGAGGACCTATACCTAAAGCCCATGCAGAGAACCATCCTGCTGATGGGCCACTACAGAGGATGTGTCCTGTGGCAACATGGTGGGGCTCGTGGGTTTGGAACATTTTCTGGTGAAGAAAAGCACCATCACCACCTTCAAGCACACAACATGCATGTGATGAAATTCAGTTCAACATCATCCCTGTTGTCAGGGTGGCCTTGGAAGCCAAGAACCCTGCCTGCCGAAGCTGATGGAGGGGCTCAAGTGGCTGGCCAACCCGGTGGTGCAGTGTATCTTCAAGGAGTCTCACTGCAGGCACAGCCATGCTGCAGCATCTGGAGATCTACCTCAAAGACCTGGAGGAAGAACACTCCTGCATCCCCATTAGGTAAGGCCCCACAGTGTCCTACCTGGAGACAGCAAGCAAGGAGTCAAACCTGCTATTCCTGTCCAAGTCCCCCAACAAACACAACCAGCTCTGCATGAAAGTCGGGCCCTTCACTGATGGCCTTGCTGAGGACATCGACAAGGGCGAGGTGTCTGCCCACCAGGAGCTTAAGGCACGTGTGTGTTACCTGGCTGAGAATACGAGTGGGATGTGGCTGAGGACTGCAAGATTTGGTGCTTTGGGCTGGATGGCATGGCCTGAACACCCTCACTGACATCACCAAGGGTATATATTACCTCAGTGAAATCAAGGAGAGCATGGTGGCCAGCTTCCAGTGGGCCACTAAGGAGGGTGCACTCTGTGAGGCAAACATGCATGGTGTGAGCTTCGATGTCCATGATGTGACCCAGCACGCTGATGCCATCCACTGTGGTAGTGGCCAGATCATCCCATAGCCTGCTGTGGCCCCAATGCCAGTGTGTTGACCTCACAGCCCCACCTCATGGAGCCCATCTACCTCGTGGAGATCCAGTGTCTGGAGCAGGTGGTCGGTGGCATCTATGGAGTCCTGAACAGGAAGCAGGGCCACGTGTTTGAGGAGTCTGAGGGGGCCGACACACCCATGTTCATAGTAAAGGCCTGTCAAGGAGTCCTTTGGTGTCACCACCAACAAGGGGCTTTCCAAAGCCGACAGCCTGGCCTTCCTGCAGTGCATGTTCTACTACTTGGAAGTCTCTGCCTGGAGACGCCTTTGAGCACAGCAGCTGCTCCAGCCACAGGGGTGGCGGAATGCACAAGCGCAAAGGCCTGAAGCAGGGCATCCGGTCCTGGACAACTTCGAAGACAAACTGTAGGAGACCAGCCTGATGCCTGACTCTGCTCTGACTGTGCCCGCCATCTCTCAACCTGAGACTGTCCCCACAGTGCTGCCATCCAAGGCTACCCAGTCCCTCCCCCCATCGTCCAGCGCTACCTAATGCCAATTCTATTTATTTCGGAGTTCCAAGGTAGCCGATCGCTCTCCACAGGGACTGGTGGGCCATTGGGTGGGCACAGAGGGACACAGTGCTTTATCATTTTCAGAGGGAAACACGCCCAAAAGCCTAAATACATTCAGAGGTTTATGTGGGTCCATTGCTCAATGGAACTCCCCGGAGGGGAACAACTGGGTGGATTACCCTAGCTGTGTCTGCTGTGGAGTAATAAACCTGATGCTGCAGTAAAATAAAAAATAAAAAGTATGGAGGCTGGAGAGATGGCTCAGTGGTTAACAGCACTGACTGCTCTTGAAAAGGACTCGGGTTCAACTCCCAGCACCCGTATGGTGGTTAACAACCACCTGTAGCTCCAGTTCCAGGGAATCTGATGCCTTCTTCTGACCTCCATGACACAGTTGCACTTACACACATGCAGGCAATACAATCACACACATAAAATAAATATAACAAAATATTTTTTAAGTATGATATTAGCACTAAGGCCTTTGTAGATATTATTATTCAAATTGAGGGTGCTCCATTGTATTCCTAGAGTGCTGGGAGTATTACAAAATGAATTTTTTTGTCAAATAACTTTAGATATATTGGTATGACCATATGCTATTTTCTTTTTTGTCTGTTGATATGAAAAAAATTGATTCTTGAATGTTGACCTAGTCTTGCATGTCTGGAACAAATCTCAATGGGTCATGGTATATGATTCATTTTAAGCAATGTTGGCTTTTAATTGCTTTTATTGGTTATTTTTGTCTGTATTCATGAGAAATATTGGTCCTTAAGTATATTTTCTTTAATTGATTTTTCTAGTTTGAGTTTTAGGAAAATTCCGCCCTCATAGAAGAATTTAGGAAGTATTCCTTTGCTATGTTCTAGAAGAGGTTGCAGAAAATTGGTATTTTTTTCCTTAAAAGTTTGGTAGACTTTGACAATAAATTCATGTGGAATTTGTTCTTTCTCATTAGGAAATATTATTGATAATTAATCCAATTATTTAATAGAGCTAGAACCATCCTCATTGTATGTTTCCTCATGGTATTTGGACAGATTGTGTCTTTTAGGAAATTAGTCTCTTTGGTTACTACTATAACATTTGTGTGCATTGAGAGATTGTTCTTTTTTATTTTTCATTTTTTAAATTTTATTTTTATTTTTATTTAATGTGTATAGGTGTATTGCTTGCATGTTTGTAGGTGCACCCATGTCGTGCAATGTCCACAGAGGTCAGAAGAGGGTGTCAGAACCCTTGGAACTGGAGTTACAGATGATTGTTAGCCGCTATGTGGGTACTGGGAATTGAACAAAAGTCATCTGTAAGAGCAGTCAGTGCTCTTAACCACTGCCATCTTTCCAGCCCCTAATTGATTTTTCTTTATTGCAGGAGACATCCAGAGTTCAGAAGTCAGCATTTCAAAGTATATAGTAGGTAACACTCATGATTTCTGGTGACCCAGGTCTTTCATATTCTCCTCATGCCTCTTGCTCTGCTATCTTCATTCCATAACCACCATCCTTGAAGAGTACCTATTTTCTAAGATAGCCAGAATTCCCGTCAACTGCCATACATGGTCATTTTGTGTTAGTTTGTCTTCTGTTACTACAACATATCTGAGATAATTAATGTAAAAAAGAAGAAAGTTTTGCTTTGGTTCATAACTTTGGAGATTTCAGTCCATGATTGGTTGACCCTATTGCTTCTGGACCTTGATGACAGAGTATATTCATTATTTCCTATTGCTGTGATAAAAACACTAACCAAAACCAATATGGGGAGGAAAGGGTTTATTTAACTTACAGGTCATAGTCCATCATCAAGGGAAACAAACCAAAGCAGAAACACAGGGCAGGAACCTGGAACAAAGACCATGTAGGTAAGCTGCTTACTGGTTTGCTCCTCTGACCCATGCTCAGCCTACTTTCATATACAATGCAGGACCATCTGCCCAGGGGTGACATCGCCCACAGTGAGCCCTCCCACATCATTCAACAATCAAGAAAATGTCCCACATATCTGACCACAGGCCAAGTCATTGGATGCAATTCCTCAACTGAGGTTGTCCCCACCCAGGTGTGTCACATTGACAACTGAAGGTATCAGCATAGCTATAGTGGAAGGAAGCTCATTTGTTTCTCAGCCAGAAATGAAAGGGAAAAGAAGATGAAGACATAGGACCCCCACAATCCTCTTCAAAGACACACCTCTAACAACCTATAGCCCCTTACCCACTATGCCTCAGCTTTTAAAACTTCTATTACTGTTCAATAGTATCACAGGCTGGGGACCAAGGTTTTAAATACATGGACCTATGGGAGACATAGAAGATCCAGACTGTAGAAGACTCCTAGTCATAAAGGAGTCTGGGAAATATCCCTTCCCTCTCCCCTCTTTCCTTCCTTCTTTCTTTTACCTCCCTTCCTTCCCTTCCCTTCACCCCCCCCACATTTTCTTCGCCTTCCCTCCTACTGACTCAGAGTTTTGCTGTGCAGCACAGCATTCCTGAAACTGATAATTCTCCTAAGCCTTCTGAGTGCTAAGGTTCCAGATATGGTACATGACACCATACTCAGCATTTTATTGGGTATTCTGTTATGTTAAGTTAAAGTAAAGTTTAACATATTAAGGAAAGAAGGAATAAAATGAGATTAATAAAGGTGATACAATGAATGTTTCATAAAGTATAACTTAATATACAAGATTTTATGTTTTCCCCCTCATCTTTTCTCAAAAATCTGCATTTTCATTGAATATTTGCAATTTTCATACAATATAATTCAATGGTATTTAGAGCCCATCCCCTATCAACACTTCCCTTTATTGCCCCCTGCTCAATTTAATGTAGTTATGTGTGTGTGTGTGTTTGTGTGTGTTAAGGCCTATAGAGTCTAATTTGTGTCCCCAAGTGTCCTTCAGTATGGGTCAATCCACTGAAGCCTGGTTGACCTACCAAGAGTCCCAGCCTTGAAAGAGACTGTCTCTCCCCCTCCCAGCAGCCATGGGTTGCCAAAAATTCCTTAGGTTGAGTTTGGATTTCTTACCCATTTCTCCATGTTTATGCTGGGATTTTGTCTGGTTTGAGCTTGAATAGGATTTGTGCATGCTGTCATCACTGCTGTGAATTAATACAAGTAACTAACCAGCTGTCTGGAAAACTCTGTTTCCTTGTGGTCATCCACAACCTCTGGCTCTTGTAATTTTTCCACCCCCTCTTCTGCAATAATCCTTGAAGCTTGGGAGGTAGAAGTTTTATATAGGTGTCCTATTCATGGATAAACCCTCTGAAGCCTCTTGTTCTCTTCCCTTGGGCCAAGTTTGGTTTCTGTGTTAATCATTATCTTCTGCATAAGGAAATTTCTCTGGTGAGACTTGAGAGATGCATTAATCTATGGGTATAACAATAAATCATTTGAAGTCAGTTTAATACTATAGCTAGTAGAATAAGAGTATTAAGCTCTCCCTTACGGCATGTGGTCTCTCTTAGCCACATGTTCCTAGGCCTGATATCACTGTCAGGTATGGGCTTCATCTTATGAAGTAGACCTTAAATCCAATTACAGAGTGGTTGGTTGCTCCCATAATATTCCTGCCACTATTCTATTGCACTGGTGGGCATATCTTGCCCAGACCAGTTGTAGTGCATGGGATTCACAGCTCTTTAAGGTCGATGATTAGTCCTCCTTTCAGGTAGCATGCATAGCACCTTCTAGCACTATAAACCTAACCAGTAGTGGTGAGGCTCTAAAGTCAGCACCAGCTTGGTTTCTCCTTGTCTGTTCTCCAGGTGAGCATTGAAATTTATTCATCATATTTGTCCATTATCCTTTTATCTTATTTTTTGTTTTTACTGAGTTTATGTGCATTTCATATAATACATCTTAATAGAATTTAGACCCCGTCCCCCTCTTCGTTCCCCATAGGCCCCTCCCCGCCTCACTAGTTTTCAGGTATTCTGTCATGTATGTTAAGTTCTGTCTGGTCAAGCACTTGTAACCAGATGTCCCTTGTCCTTGGTTCATCCACTGGAGTCTAGTCAGCCTATCTAAAGTCACTTCCTTAAAGAAGGTCTACTCTCCCTCACACAGCAGTAATCATTTGCTAAAAGTTCCTTGGCTAGGGTTGGGGCCTGTTGCCCATTTCTCCTGTTCTATGCTGGGTTGTGCTATGCTCACTATGTGTCTTGTGCATACTGTCACCATTGTTTTGAGTTCATATCAACAAGTTCCCAGAGGCCCGAAGGCCTCTGTTTCCTTATGTTCGTGCACCAACATTTTTAATGTTTATCGAATCTATAATGGTATCTCTACTTTGTAATGTAATGGAATTGTCCTCTCTCTTTATTTCTTAGTACTATTGACTAGAGGTTTATTGATTTTATTAATCTTTTCAAGGAACAAAATTTTGCTTTCATTCATTTTCTTGTTTACTGATTAAAAGCTCATTGAATACTGCATAAAATTTTTTTAATATTTTTTATTTTTTTAGAAGCATATCATTACAGCTTTAATATGCTCAATAACAGTTTTCAGAGCAAAGATACAGCTCTTTCAAAAGTGGCTATAAAATTTTTCGGTTTGCTGTTGAATTAATATAGTTATACAATATTGAACTCAGGATAAGCCCTGTAAGACATAAAATTGAATGAGTTTTTAGCCTTTAAAAAAGATCTCCATTTCATTTTAAAATATACTGTTTCTTACAGAAAGACTCATTGTTTTTGCTACTGAGATGTTGGTGCATGCATCTCTAATCTGATCATTGTGTATCTGATTATTACTAGTCGTAATCGGTTGCACTCAGATCCTTGGCACCTATGTATGGCTATAAAGTCATTGGGTAGATTTCAATGGTAATGTTTATCACC